CCCTTCCCCCCCCCCCCACCTCACATGCTCTCGAGCACCATGCTAAGCATACGCATACACATATATGTGTTTCAGAAATGGCCCGTGAAGAAATGTCTCATTACTGTTTTCATTCTCTGCGCCGTGTGCGGCGGTGTACAGGTCGCCCTAATATTTTTGCTCCCGAATCGCAAAGCATCACGAAGTCCAATGGCCTGTCACCCCTGATGGCCATTTTAAGCGCCTGTCTCCTCGTTGCCGGTGTGCTTAGGCACTACTGGGACATATATATCCATCGGACTGTGCGGGGAATAAGTTTCTTGTTTGTGGCCATTGATGCGGCGGGTGATTTATTTTCGCTGGTTTCTATCTGTATGCTTCGTTCATTCAAACTCGGCCCCGTTCTCCTGTCACCACTCCCTATTGCAAAAAGATCACTCAGTAGTTATATCATCTCCTATGCCGATACCACCTTGTCTAACAATTCAATCTAGTATACCAACCCACATTTGATATACTCGGGATGGTCATCTACGGAAGCGAGCTGGCCTTCTGGTTGGGGATCTGTGCGTGTGGTTTCTTTATGAATTTCTGCCCCTGGATTAAGAAGAAAGCCAGAGCATGGGGATATCGTGCGGAAGAAGAGTCTGGGAGTGAAAAGAATGAACCTGCGACACAACAATCCCAACAAATTTATCTTCAGGAGGTGCCGTCATCTACCTCTGTGTTTCAAACAGCGTCTGGGACAACGGGCACGCTGAGGAGGAGAGACACTGCTGTGCAAGAGCCATAAGAGGCCAATGAAAAGACATCGGCTCTAAGTCAGCTCTATCCCTGGAGACTGGTAAGGGCGCTGGGTCAGGTTGGGAATCATGATAAAGAAGTTGTAGATAGTCATGTAGTCCTCATCCTCAAGCCATCCGAGTTCATACACGGCCACCGGGGCGAGAGGGGTTCCAAGATTGAAGCACGAAAACTGATAGTGTACAAACTTCTTAGATTACATTCAAAGCATACAGATCTTTATAAAATAATGTGTACAGTATTCGTACAGCATGTTGCTTTACGTACAGTCTATAAGGAAATAATTTTTTAGGTTCTTTGGGTCATTTCCCTCTGAGCGGATGACGATGCACACAAAGGCCTGCCTTTTGTGTTTGAAAAATTGGGGCATATGAGTTGACACCATCTTTTACATGCGCCAACACAGCCCTCCTGACAAGAGCTCGCAAAGTATTA